GGCGGAGCACTCAGCGACCCTCGCCAGTCCCGGGCTCCGCGGCGGCCAGCTGCAGCGTCCTCAGGTCCTCCTCAGCACCGACCTGAGCTCCGGCCACGCCTCCCGGCCACGAGGCCCCGCCCCTCGGCCCGCCCGGCCGGCCCGGCTCCGCCCCCACCGCCCGCGCCCAGGTAGGGAAGAGGCGGAGCGCCGGGGGCCCCGCCCCCAGGAGCCACCGCCCAGCCGCTGACCCGCGCCGCTCGGAGCTGCGTCCAGGGGACGTGGGGCCTCAGGGAGGTGAGCGCGGGGCGAAGGGCGGAGCCGGCACGCGGCGGCCGGGCGGCAGGCGCCGTAGGGGTCCGCGGGGTCGGGCCCGAACCTAGCTTGGGGCGACCGTGCGCGGCCAGCGAGGGTGCCCGCCCTGCCGGAGCGCTCGGGCCCCACGTGGGCCGCGCCGGAGGCCAGAGGTCGGGGCTGGACTCGGACGGAGGTGCTGGACCGGGTCTGCCGGTCCCCGGGGCTCGGCTGGGACAAGACGCCGAAGGGGGTCCCTTGGCCACGGGTCACCAGATGTGGGGAGGGCACGACGACTGGGCCGAAGTTTAAGGCCGCGGAAGGAAGGGGACCGGACCGCGCGGTCCCGCCTTCTTCCCAGAAGCGCCTGGAACTCCGATCCTTCCCTCTCTTTTAAACTCCGAGGCAGAGTTTGTGCTCTCAGCCTCGCCGGGGTGGAAACAGGTGCGGGGGAGCGGAGTCACAGCGAGGCTAGGTCGAAGCTCAGAAACTGGACCCAGAAGTCCTGACTTCTGGACCGAGGGCTTTGGGGAAGGTTGGCCCCCTCTGATATTCCTCCAGGGTCTTGGGTTAGGTTACGGTTGGGAAGGGTTATGCCTGCTAGAGGCACCTCCCATCCCAGGGTAGAGGGGAAGCCGAGGTCTCACCCGAGAGGGGCTGAAGGGTTGGAGCTCCTGAGAGGGTGTCTGGGCTGGGAAGGGCTGCCAAAGACCCCACAGGGGCACTGGCAGCTGGTTCCCAAGTGGCTAGATTTGGGACCCCGTGTGGGTGACATTGGCTGGTAAAAAGATGTGCTCCTGTTCACTCTTTATGCCGGGCGGAGGGAAGAGAGGGAGTGAAGCTTGTTCCAAGCAGGGAGAGGTGTCAAGGGGGGGCCTGATTATCGGTGCCAGGAGGTATCTGACAGTGGAGACATTGCAGTTATCACAACTCAGGAGAAGGAGGGGAGTGCTGTTGTTATGGTGTCTAGTGGGTCCAGGCTAGAGATGCTGCTCAGACATCTTAACAGCGCACAGGACAGCATCCCCCCCCCCCGCCCCCCGCAAAGAATTACTCTGCTCAAAAAGTCAGGGTGGCTCAGTGGGTTAAAGCCTCTGCCTTCGGCTCAGGTCGTGATCCCAGGGTCCTGGGATCAAGTCCTTCATCGGGCTCTCTGCTCAGTGGGGAGCCTGCTTCCTCCTCTCTCTCTCTCTCTCTCTCTCTCTCTGCCTGTCTCTCTGCCTACCTGTGATCTCTGTCTGTGAAATAAATGGGTGGAATCTTTAAAAAAAAAAAATGTCAGTGCGGTGCTGAGGTTCTGAGACCCTGGTGGTGCACCTGCTTCATCAGGTTACTTCTCATCGACTTCCCCTGCTTGCCTCAGTTTCCCCGGGGGTTAGGGGAGGAACAAAATAAACTTGAATGAGATAAGAGGTGTGAGGGCAGTTATTCCCCTAGCAGTAGGCTCCCTTTGGTGCCATAAACCTTCCTCTTCCCTGCTCAAACGACAGTCTCTGCACAAAGCAGGTCTGGGTGCTATGGGACAGGAGCTGAGTTCCAGGGGCTGGGAACAGGGCCTTCTCATAGCTCAGTCCTGGAGTGCCTCACCCCTAAGGCAGCCTTCCATGCAGGGTGAGCCAGGGCAGCCCTCGAGCTCAAATATCCCTTTCGGGGAGGGGGCAGAGGGGGAGGAGAGGAGGGGGGGCTCTGTTCTCATAGATTTTCCCAAAGCTGGATTGCTAAGACAGGCATGGACTCCTGGTGCCATGTGACCTGCTGGAATTTTCCCTTCTAAACTGACACCTAACTCTTCCAGCTATGTACACCAGGAAAATAACATCCAAGGACTAACAGGCTTCTGTGGCTCCCCCAGTCTGCTTCCCTCCTACAACAAAAAAGGGCCTCTGTGGCTGTGGGAACCCTGAGTTAGGCAAGAGGCCCCACAGTGGACCCCGTGGCTGGCAGAGCGAGGCACCCCCGTTCCTGGTGTTAGCCAAGCGCCAGGCCAGGGGGACCCCAGTAGGGACGACTCTGGTTTGAGTTGGGCTCAGGAACATTGGCCCAGGTCTTGGAGGATGGGGGTGGGGGGGCTATTCTAGAGGGGTGAGATGGAGTGAAGCAGCTGTCTGTCCCCAGGAGCCCAGGCCACCCGCTGCCTTCCCTTCCTGTTTTCTGACAGTGTCCGTTGCCCCCTTCCTGTTCATTTCTGGACCCTGGCCTCCTGGCCTCCTGGCCTCCTGGCCTGGGAGCTCCGGCAGGACAAAAGGAGCAGGTGGCAGTTTCTGGTTGGTTGTTTTTGTTTTTGTTTTTGTTTGCTTTTAACTTTAAAGGGCTGGAGGGACACTCCCGTCTTTTGGTTGAACAAGAAACTAATAGTGTCCTCTGCCTTTAATGTGTCCCTCGTGGCACAAGACAGCACTTGGGACTAGTGCAGAGCTGTTAAGGAATCGAGTGGCAGAGCCTGACACTGAACCCGGGGCCGTGTTCTCGGGCCCAGCCCCCAACCCTGTGCCTACCTGCTGCTAAGCCGCTGGCTGACTCCTGTCTGGTTCGCTCCCGTGCGAGCTACGGCTGTACGTGCTGCAAAACACACACGGGAGGCCCAGGAGGGGACATCCGTTCCTCTCGGGGGAGGGATTAGTCACATCCCAAATACATCATCATGGAGGCTGCCGGGGTCTGGGTCTGGCTCTTGCTCCCTGGTGGTGCTTTTCCTGGTGGCCAGAGCTCTTACGGTGTTCCCCTTGACTTGCCCGAAACCGTGCTAGATGGGAGAGCAGATAAGAGCAGGAAGATGTCGAGGGGGTGTGTCCCTGCGTGCACCGGCCTGTTCGGGTGTCCAGGTGACTTGAACCAAGGCACCTGGCTGGCTCAGGAGGGTATGTGACTTGATTTTGGGGTCATAACTTTGAGCCCTGTATTGGGTATACAGATTACTTAAATAAATAAGAATTAAAAAAAAAAATCCTGAAACAAAAACAGGTGACTTGAATGGGCCACTGGTACTTCTCTTTGGTTGAGAATGAGTGGTGACAGGATCAACAAGGCCTCAGCCCCCGGTCCCCCCAGGGGGACGCATCTGGGGAGAGGACCGACCTCTGGTCTGCCTCCCGCTCTCCACACATCCCCTCCGGTCTGCACCACCCACTTTGGAGCAGTCTTCAGTGTTGTCCCGGCTGCCTGTGGGGATTTCCAGAGTGAGCTCACAGCGTTGCTCCATGTTTCCTACCCAGCTGGACCTGGCTGAGGGAGCACTGGTGGGGTCATCCACGCCCGCTGCTGGTGCAGGCTAACCTGTGTGCGGTGGAGAGGTTGGGGCAGTGCCTGGGCAAGGCCAGCTCACAGGATATGGGCTGGGAGGGGTTGCCCCACCTGCCCCATCCCTGGGGCAAAACAAGGGCTTTCCCCTACAGCCCATAAAGTTACTATTGCTTCCCTATGGGAGTCAGATCTGAGTGTAAAGAAAAATTCAGCCTGTCGTCTTCAGGGAGGTACGAGGACCCAGCGCTTACATTCCGTCATTGCGTAAACTTATCCAGCGACCCAGACACAAGTCATTTGTTTGCAGTTTGAAAGCTGCCAGAGGCCTGTTGTGGGGGTGGGGTGCCAGTGGTTGGAGCTAAGTGGGCAGTGCCAGTCAGGGATGCTGGCCAGGAGGCTGGGAGGACGGTAGGAGGGTGATTCCCAGCATGGGGAGCCAAGGAGTGAGGCCCAGAAGCTGGCAGCCATGGTGGCCCACTAGGTAGTGGTCAGTAGAAGGAGGGCCACTTGTGGTCCGGGCCTCAGTCTCCGCAGCTGTACTGTGGGGCAGCAGTAGCCCACCGGGACAGCTTGCTATGGGGATTCCAGGGGTGACCCATGGGAAGTCTTGGGCCCGGGGTCTGAGGCGGGAGCCGTGAGGATAAGGGCTTTGTGCCTGCTGTTAGGGGCGTGTCTCTGTGCCCTTGGCACAGGCTTATGGTGATGACAGGGGCCTTGCCCCGTGAGCTGTCGGGAGGGGTAGCTAAGAGCATGTCGAAGAGCAGCAGCGCTATAATTACTCTGCAGAAGTGGCCCAGTCTGGGGTGGGGACCCCCGCTGCACCGAGGCCGAGGGGATTGAGGGTGTGCTTGGACGTGGGAGGGGAGCCTCGGGCCAGCATGTGCTGGCTCCTTCAGCAGGGGCTTCTCCCTGTCTGCCTGCACGTGTGTCAGGTTGAGGGGTGAGGGGCTCATGGAGGTGGTGACCCGCAGCCTCCACTCCCTCTGGCTGGGCTTGTGGGGCCAGGAACAAGGTAAGCCGTTCAGAGCCTTGCTTTTCTCGGCTGCCTCCCACGTGGGGCCCTGGGACCTGAGCCAAGAGCACCATCAGGTGGTCATGCCCCTGACGTCCAGCGAGAAGAGTGTCTTCCCTCTCCAGATGGCCCTCCGCAGGTCAGGCCTCCGGGGCAGCCTGCAGAAGCCTGTGGGATGGGCCAGGAGCAGGACTTGACACCGAAATATGGCCCGAGTCTTGGCTCTCACCTTGTCAGCCACTGGTGATCATGACAGAGGGACAGACAGCGTGGGAGAATGTTTGAGAAGGCCCTTTGATAAGCCCAGGACTACCTAAACTCCGGGTGAGGTCATTTCTGCCTGGGGCACTGGGAGGAGCTCTGGAGTCTTGCAGGCCCACACCTAAACTCACCCTCAGCACCTTGCTCACCACCCCAGGCCCGTATTTTGGCCACTTCTCCTCACCAGTTCCAGGGTGGCAGGACCCCCCCCCCCCCGCGTGCCCAACAATGGGACCCGGGACAGGGGTCGTGTCTGAGCCTCAATTTCCCCACCTGTCAAATAGAGGTCTGTTACCTCCGGGGCTCTCGGCTCAGATAGAGAGACTCAGTGAGCAGCGGTCAGCCAGGAATAAAAGAAGCCACCAATTAGTGGCCCTTGATTGTGTGCCAGGCCCCGTCCATTCATCATCTGATGTCATCTCTGCTGGATCGGCGGGTTTGGAGGGACCTCAGCCCATTTCACAGCAGAGGAAACCAAGGCTCCGAAGTGGTAACTTGCCTGAGATCTCCTGGCAGGTAAGTGGCCATGCCAGGGTTCTTGAGTCCTGTCTTTGTCCCGCCCTGCCCCACAGCCCTCCTCATTCCACAGCGAGTGAATCCGTGCTGCCCCAGAGTGAGGCAGGGGGCTGCGGTGAGGCGGGATTGACAAAGCCTTACACCCCCAGCCTTAATGGCCTTCCTGGGCCCACATCCAGGTACCCTGAAGCTTGGTCGTCACAGGGGCTGGGGCCAACCTCTTCTGGGGAAGCCGCAAGCTCCGGGGCAGGGTTCTGGGAAGTCAGGTTTATTAGCTCCTTAATGACTGTTTACAAGCTGAAAATTGTTTGCCTGGCACGCTCCCTCCCAGCTGTGGGGCCAGCCTGGGCCTCCAGAAGTGAGGGGCACCCAGAGCCCCCACCTGAGTTTATCAAGATGAGGGGACCCAGGGCAGCCCAGGGCCTGACCTCTGGCTGAATGACCCTGGGCCAGGTGCTTACCTCTCTGTGAGCTATGATAAGTCAGCCTTTGTCCCTCCGCGGCGCCCGCACCCAAGGTGAGCCCCAGCTAATGGGGACAGAGCTGCCCAGATTTCAGACTCCTGGGGGGCTGCTTAGCATCCTTTAGCATAAACAGACTGGGGTCAGACGTTAAGTGGCTTGTCTAAGAGTACCCAGTGTTGAGGGCTGGACCCGAGACCCCTTTGCCTCAGCTGGACAGTGTTTGCACTGTCCAGAGCCAGACCACAAGGAGCCAGGTGGAAATTAGGTGGACCCCACCCTTGCAAGCCCAAGACAGAGCCCTGGTCTGTGTACTGAGTGTGCTCATGTCTGGAAACAGCCTGTCACCTCTAGGTGTCGGGGAGCTCCCAGCAGGAGTGAAGCGGGCCTCCCCTGCTCCCCAACCCACGTTGCAAGCCACCCTTCCCCTAACCTCCGAGCAGGGTCTAGGCCTCTGCCAGTGCTAAGGACCAGTGAAAACCCAGTTCCTAGGGGCACTTGGCAGGCTCAGTGGGTGGAGCTTGCGGCTCTGGATCTCAGATTTGTGAGTTCTAGCCCCACGCTGGGTGCACAGATTACCAAAAAAATAAACTTCAAAACAAAACAAAAAAAACAGTTTCCAGTACCTCGAGATCCTGAGAGAGGCAAATCCTCTTCGATGTTTGGAACAAAGCCTGCTGGCGTCAAGCTCAGGTCGACACGGTGTCCCTCTCCAGGAGCCAGCCTGTGCCCTGGTATCAGACCCAGAAAGGACCAGGGTCTTCTGGACCCCCAGTGCCTACCCCGACTCCTCCCCTTCATGGCAATTCTCAGGGAGCAGCAGAACTAGGACAGGTCACCCTCCCAGCGGAGGCTGGGCCGTTGGGCAGGGCCCCCGGGGACCAGCCCCAGTGCTCTCTTCCCTCTGTTGTCCCCAGGTAGCAGTTGGCCCCCAGGCTCTGGAGCTGCTGCTTCCCAGGGCTGTGGGAGGGCACCTGCATCCCTGCTCAGCTGCCATCCCCTTGTGTGCTTCCACAGGCAGCTTGTAGAGTCCAGAAAGTTCCAGAGCGCCCTCCGGGAGGGCACCTAGGAGGACAGGGTCCGGCACTGTGTCCGGCTGGGGACACCTGGTGGCATTTAATGCTGCCTGACCTGCATCCCAGCCCGGCTGGCCTCCCGTATGCGGGGCCCCCTGCAGAGGTTGGGACATTCACGTCTCTGCCCGCCCCACTGGCTCATGGTCCCGAGAAAGCCTGGCGGGTGGGACAAAGGGGTGTTGGGGTCTGCCCCACTCTAAGAACTTGGCACCCCCTCCAACTTCCATGTACTCCTACTCTGGGCCTGGAGCCCAGCACCCACTTCCCGTGTCTGTGGTTGGCCGTGCCACCCAAGCCGCAGTAACTGGGTCACAGGGAGTCCAGAACCTGGGGTCTGATGGGGCAAAGCCAGTGGGTCACCAAGCCCCTGAGCCCCTGCCCCCTCCCCCCTTCTTTATCTTCTGAACTGAGTTTGAGCAAAGGCTTTTTTTTTTTTAAGAGTTTTTTTTTAATTTATTTGACAGACAGAGGTCACAAGTAGGCAGAGAGGCAGGCAGAGAGAGAGAGGGAAGCAGGCTTCCCGCCGAGCAGAGAGCGTGACCCTGAGATCATGACCCGAGCTGAAGACAGAGGCTTTAACCCACTGAGCCACTCAGGCGCCCCTGAGCAAAGGCTTTTAAGGTTTTAAGGGAGGGTGGAGACATCGGTGCTCTCCCTGTGGGAGGGGCGCAAACCCGCAGGTGCTTTCAGTTTTCCTCTGCACCGGCGGGAAGCCTCCCAGCCCCGCAGTGCAGTCGAGTCCATGGACTTGCACCTCTGGGGAAGTGGGTGCTCGCTGGGAGGGAAGGAGAGGGACGGGGCGACCCGCTGGTTTCTCGTGACTTAGAGTTCGTAGCCTCTGACGGGGACCCCGTGTCCCCTTCCCTTTCTGCCTCTGCCTTCTCTCTTCCTAAGTCCTGTCCCCAGACCCTCAGCGTCCACTGGGCTCTTCCCTGCCTTTTGCTCCAGCCCGCTCTTGGCAGTGCAGGGAGCTGATGGGGTGAGTCAGGGCCATCAGGACGCCTGTTGGGAGACAGGGTTAGATGACAGCCTTTACATAAGCTGTCCTTTCCGGGTCTCGAGGGGAGCTGGAGCCACTTCCCCTGAGGTCAGCAGGACTCAGGGTTTTGCTGGGGGTTGCACAGTGGGCGAGGGCCAGCTTCCTCTCCTCTCTGCAGCTTTCTAAAAACGCCCTGGTTCCCAGAAGGCTGTGGGGAGGGACCAGCCGGTTTCAGTTTCTGTGTCAGGGAAGCAGCGGAGAGAGGCCACTTCCTTGCTCCTGGCTGTCACCCTATCATTCTGTGATTCATCAGGGGACAGACAGGTTCCCAGCAGCCCCGGGCCATCTTCCTTCCTTCCACTCACCCACAGCTGCAAGCCCGGGCCGGGGGCCAGTTTCCTTCCTTGGTTCAGGGGACATGTGTGCCCCCCAACCCCCACCCCAGGAGGTCCCTTTAACTTCCTGATTGAGCCTAGTAGTTAATAGTGGTCTGCCTCTTTGCTGGAGGGGATGCTTGTTACCCCTTGTCCAAGGGCCCCTTTCTTCCCTTTGTCCCCAGTTCCAGCCACACAGGCCAAGCCCCGATGTCAGTAGCCTCCTGTTTCCATCCGGAGCTGCAGCTGCTGACTCCCTGTCCCGGTTCTGGAGGTCCTCAGAGCCTGGGGATTGCCGAGACCCCATTGCCATTAGCGAGACCAGGGGAGCCTTCAGAAGCCAGCTGGTGTGCCTGGGGGGCCGGCGGGTGGGGAGGGAGAGAAGGGACTGGAGTCAGACCCCTGGGGGCAGGTGGCGAGGGGACAGTGGGGCCACACAGGCTCGAGGAGAGGGGATGCTCATCCAGCACCCTACCTGAGCCTGCCCAGGAAGAGCTCTGTGGGGAGACCTCTCCGGCCGAGGGCTTGCTCACTGTGGCTGTGTCTGTGGGGATGCGACTTAGCCAGCAATGCCCAGCCCCACCCTTTGTGGGGAAACCAGATTGTCCAGCAGCATCAGTGAGCGCTTTCTGAGTCTGCATTTCTGTCCTGTGTGCCTGATCTGGGCTGCTCTTAGCCGGGTTACAGCACTGGTTGTAGGGGGGCGGGGGAGGGGGGTACAGAAGTACCAACCCTTGGGCACCTCGGGATGATTTGAATCTGCCCCACCCGCACCCTGTGATGGAGCCCCCCGAAGTCGCTGCCCTTACCCAGGCCCTGCTACTCTGGGCTGGGGCAGAAGGCCCCACTGAGGCCAGGATCCAGGATTGGCCTCGCTGGGTGGGGCAGGCTCTCAGACGTTTCACACAAGCCCCCCACCCCTCCCTAGTCCACAGGCTGGGTGCTGCGGCAGCCCTGGGGTCTTAGAGCAGCGGATGTGACTGGGCCAGGAGGAAGCCTTGTCCCAGGATGTCACAATTTCCTCTGCAATGAGCAAGCGTTTCTGGGGCGTGGGAGATACGTGTGGGGCGGGATCCTCCCAAAGCTCCGGTACTTTTTCCATCTGGGTTCGTCCGTCCCCAAGACTTGGGTTCCGTGGCCCCCTGTACTGCCAGCCCTACCCTCTGCCCCCCACCACCCCAAGGAAGACACTGGGCTTCTGGTACACCTGCCCACCATTTCTGCACAAGTTGGGGGAAGTCTCAGGAGTAGGCCCTCCCCTTCTTGGTGGAGAGGGGCTCTAGGAAAGTGGTGTTTTGTACTAAGCTGCTGGCTTGGTGGGTGTCAAAGCTGGGCCATCACCTCGTCCGAGTCTCTTGCCTTTTTTTTTTTTTTTAAGATTTTATTTATTTATTTGACAGACAGAGATCACAAGTAGGGAGAGAGGAGGAGGAAGGAGGCTCCCTGCTAAGAAGAGAGCCCGATGGAGGGCTCGATCCCAGGACCCTGGGATCATGACCTGAGCCGAAGGCAGAGGCTTTAACCCACTGAGCCACCCAGGCGCCCCCTGAGTCCCTTGTTTAACAGAGAAGGAAACTGAGGCCAAGGAGTAAAGCTGGCTCCAGGCTAGGACTCGGCACTGACCATGAAGACGGTGAAAATAGCTCTCTTAGATACCCCACTCCGCCCCAGGGAGGTGTACCCCCAGCACTGCCTCTGCTCTCCGGGGCACAGCCACTTCTCCCTGTGGCCCCCAGAAGTCCCCTGGGGCCAGTCCGGTCTCCCCAGCGTCAGGACATTGGCACAGATGCCAGCAGCACAGTGGAGACCAGGCCGGAGGGCCCAACCAGGGTGCTATGGCTTTGGGATGGGAGGGCAGGCCGGGGAGTCTGGGCTGTGCTGAGAGAGGGGAGCGGGAGGTCCAGTGGGGGCTCATCCTGGGACTGCATCTGCTGTCCTCATCCCACAATGGTCACAGATCCCCAGCAGAGCAGAGAGTACCTGCTGGAGCCTTCCAGAGTGGGCCACTCCCTTCCTGGGCTGAGTGTAGGATGAGGGGGAGGGATAGTTTTAGTCTGGGGTCCATGTGGACTGACAGTCTGCAACGGTGCATATGCCCCCTTCCCCCCACCTTCCATCCCATTAGCCATTAGTGGAAGCCAACTTCCAGATTTGGTGCTGCTCGGGGAGGGGGACACCTATACACAGCCAGGTGTCTGCAGTATGAGGCAGGTGAGAAAGTGGTTGATTCTGCCTGATGGTGACAGGGCAGACTTCCTGGAGGAGGTGACATTTCACCTGCCCAGGGGATGAGGTGGAGCCTGCTGTGCTAGGTGCAGTGCCTCAGGTGAGGAAGTAGGGGCCAGGGGACCTGCAGGGAATGTGTGTCTGCTGCGGGTGGAGACAGGTTCTGAAGGGCACTGGATGCTTACTCTGGGAAATTGTGATCAGCAGGGAGTTCCAGAGGGAGCCTACGTGCTTGATGACCTCACCCAAGCTCAGACTCAGCAGCTCGTCCTAACCTTTCTCCCAGCCTTCCTCCACCATCTACCTCCTTCCCTCCTTGGGGCAGAACAGCGCCTGCCTGGTGCCCTCTTGCTGCCCCCGATCCCAAAGGAGACCAAACCGGAGAACTTTCCATGCAGTGGCCCCAGGGGAGGCTGTTGTCCTGGAGCTGCCCCCAGAGTAGAGGTAAAGTGGCATCTGAGGAGCCAGCTGGCCTGGCACTGAGGCCCATCTGCCCGTCATCTCTCAGGGGCCTTGTCGCCCGCTGCCAGCCTGCCCTGAGGTGTGGAGTCAGGACTCCCGGCACTTCGGGATAGAAGTAAGGATGCCCGGTCTATTGGGCAAACCCTGAAGCAGAAAGCGTCCTGGGCCCCCAGCTCTGCCTCAGATCCCCCCTCGGGCACCCCCGCACACCCAGAGTTCCTCTGTCTTATAGCTGGAACACTTTGCCACCCCCTGAAATCAGAGGGAGGGCACAGACCTGGCCCCAGCCGGTTTGCCCACGTACCCCTTTGGGTAACCCCAGGCCGCTGAGGAACAGAGTTTGCAAAGTGCTGTTGAATAAAACTAAGTTTCCTTCCAGACTGGACTATACTGGGTCACCCTGATAGGGATCTGTCCAGCCCTCAGTGTGCCCTAACTTTGGTGGCGGGGGTGGGGGGCTCCTGTTTCCTGAAAAGACCCAGCTGTTCCCCTTCCTGGCTGTGTGAGCATGGGCAAGTTACTTAACCCCTCTGAGCCTCCCTCCATTCCCATCCATGAAATGGGAGCAATGGGAGATGTCTACCTTCAAAGGTGTTTTGAGGACAAAGTGGGATAATGGATGTGAGGGGCCAAGCCTGGCCCTCCTGAGGACTGACCTGCCCGCCCCCAGCAGCCTGCGGGGTTCTGCTAAGGGAGGGTCTGCTGCAGAGCTCCTGTGTGCAAGACCTTCTGGCGAGCTTGCTGCAGTCTCTCTGAAACTCTTAACTTTATGTTGTGTGGGTTTGATCTCAGTTAGTTAAAGAGCTAATACAATAACAAAGAAACCCTTTTCTCTCTCTCTCTCTCTCTTTTTAGATTTTATTTATTTATTTGACAGAGATCACAAGTAGGCAGAGAGGCAGGCAGAGAGAGAGGAGGAGGCAGGCTCCCTGCTGAGCTGAGAGCCTGATGCAGAGCTCGATCCCAGGACCCTGGGATCATGACCTGAGCTGAAGGCAGAGGCTTTAACCCACTGAGCCACCCAGGTGCCCCCAAAGAGACACTTGTAAGTCATTTGAACGCTGCCTTCAACATCCGTCTTACTCTGTTTGAAAGGAAATCTTAATCAGAAGAAGCCAACACGTTTCTCATGAAGTTACATTGACGCACACAAAAAATAGGGACTGTCCTGATTTGGGATTCCTGGCCCAGAGTGGAGGTCCTTACTGCAGGAGAGCAGATCTCCTAATCCCTCAGCCATGAGGCCCATGGAATTACCCCATTTTATAGATGCAGAGACTGAGGTCAGGAAGATTGAAAGATGCGTCGTTCCAGCACGCCTGCTTGAACCTGCCCTTCCCTCCCTATAGGCTGTGCGCGCCAAGTGAGCAGCCCCATTTGGCCTGGAAGCCTCTTATCTTGGCATCTGTCCACCTTTACACGGAGCTGAAGCTGGACCGACCCCAGAGCATCTGCACAGAGTGAGGGAAGGACTACAACATGCTCTGAAGACCCCTGCAGCAAGACCGGGAAGCAGTGAGCTCAGTCCAAACCCAGAAGGTAGGACACTGGGTAGCTGCGTGGGCTGGACCCAAGGCACCTGCCGCTTTGCTTGCTTTTTTGTTTTTCAACCGATACGTACGGATACTACCTGTGGGCCAGTACTCTGCTGGAGGGGGTGGTGCTGCAGGGCATACGCCAGAGAGAGGAAGGTGACCAGGGTAAAGCCATGGAGAGGCTTGAAGCAGGAGTGGGAGAGCTGCTTCGGGCAGTCAGGAAGGGCTCCTTGGAGGCGGTGGCGCCCAAGCTGGAACCAGAATGATAGGAAGGAGCCACCTGCCCTGTTGTGTGATGATCTGATATGAGGATAGAAAGCTGAACACAGGCAGAGGCCGAATATTTATGGGGTACCTGCCTGAGACTTTTTCAACAGCATCTTTGAGCTGTAATTCACATTTAGTCCATTTAATCCAAATAAACTAGATCCATTTAAAGTGTATAATTCAGGGACGCCTGGGTGGCTCAGTTGTTAAGCATCTGCCTTCGGCTCAGGTCATGACTCCAGGATCCTGGGATCGAGCCCTGCATGGGGCTGCCTGCTCAGCAGGAAGCCTGCTTCTCCCTCTCCCACTCCCCCTGCTTCCGTTCCCTCTCTCGCTCTCTCTCTCTCTCTCTCTGTCAAATAAATAAATAAAATCTTAAAAAAAAATAAAAGAAAGTGTACAATTCAGCGGTTTCTGGTATATTCACAGGTCCGTGCAACCTTCCATTGCTTGAGAATGAGACCCACCCTTTAGCTGCTGTCCCCCTACCCCCGTCCTATCTCAGACTTTCATATGAATGGACTCCCAGAGCATGTGGTCTTTGGTGTCCGGCTTCTCTCACTTCACATAACATCCTTAAGGTTCAGCCGTGCTGGACCCCATGTCGGTGTTGCTCTCCTATTTCTGGCTGACTCAATCCCATTATGTGGATGGAACAGGCTTTGTCTCTCCGTTGGTCTCTGGGTTGTTTGCACCTTTTGGCTCTGATGACCATGCTGCTGTGAACATTCTAGAACAAGTTTCTGTGTCCGCACACTGCCCAGGTGTGCGTCATGCGTTCTCTCATTTGATGCTCAGGGCGCCTCTCCCGGGGGAGGTCTTTCCCTCCTTACAAAGCGAGGATGTGGGTGACTCATGGTCAAGTGCAGGTCAAGGCCAGACCACCCAGTGAGTGGCAGGATGCTTTTTTTTTTTTTTTTTTAAGATTTTATTTATTTGACAGGGAGAGAGGGAGCACAAGCAGGGGGAGCAGCAGAGGGAGAGGGAGAAGCAGGCTCTTCGCCGAGCAGGGAACCCGATGCAGGGCCCAAACCTAGGACCCTGAGATCATGACTCAAGCCAAAGGCAGACGCTCAACCAACTGAGCCACCAAAAGGCCCCATGCTTTTGACCGTGACCCCTCGGTGCCTCCTAACAGAGCTTAGCAGGTGCCAGGTAGGGAGGGGTTCAGAGTGGCCGGTGCAGGGGCGAGGAGGACACAGAGCCACTCGGGGCCCAGAGACCCCAGTGAGAAGCATGGACTTTAGGTGAGAACGGGAAATCCTGGGACAGTGTTGAGCAGAGAGAGACGTGGTGTGATTGGTGGTTTTAAAAGGTGACTTCTGTTGCTGTGTGGAGGGTGGTCATGAGGCTGGGGACGTGAGGGGCAGCAGGTGGAGGGGTCAGGAGGCTGCTGTGACCCCTCAGTGGAAAGAAGATGGTGGCTCTGGGGGGCTGCGTAGAGATGGAGGGGACGGATGGACTCAGGCCACGTGTGGCTGCTGTGTCACCTTTCTGTCACACGTTGGTCCCACAGCCCTTACCTAGAGGGCTCCCATGTGACTCTCCCCGGGTCTCCGCATAGCCGGGGTCAGCACTGTGTCGGCAGGTGGATGTGGAGTCCCTGGCCTTGTGCTGGGAGAAGGGAAACCAGGTCAGCTCCAGCAGCTTCGGGAAGTGGGGAGAGGAGAAAGCGAAGGATTTTAGCCAGAGAAAGAGCAGAGTGAGTGAGGAAGGGAGGAGGATAGCACAGGCAGAGCGGTGATTCTGGTGGAATCAGAGGGGAAGTGGGAGTGGGGGCCACGAGTGAGTATGGACAAGCCCCAGATCTGGGCAGGGGCGGGGAAGGGGGGTAAACTGCCCCCTTCTCTTGGCAGGGCCATTTCCCAGTATCCACTGAAATTCAGGCTGAACTTACTCTCCAACCCAGCAGTTCCACTTCTAGAAGTTCGTTTTGGGATAGCACTGGGACAAGTGCACGGTCTAGGCAAGGGCGTTGGTTAACACTGGACAGGAGTCCCAAATGCCAAACACACCCCAAACAGCCATCAGTCTGGTTAAATCTTGGTGCATTCCACTCAGCGAAATCTTTGCAGTCATCAAGAAAGGTAAGGTAGGGGTGCCTGGGGGGCTCTGTCGGCTGGGCATCCCACTCTTTTTTTTTTTTTTTTTAAGATTTTATTTATTTATTTGACAGAGATCACAAATAGGCAGAGAGGCAGGCAGAGAGAAGAAGGAAAGCAGGCTCCCTGCTGAGCAGAGAGCCCGATGCGGGGCTCGATCCCAGGACCGAGATCATGACCTGAGCCGAAGGCAGAGGCTTTAACCCACTGAGCCCCCAGGCGCCCCTGGGCATCCCACTCTTGATCTTCAGGTCTCCATCTCAGGGTCGTGAGCTCAGACTCCCTGTGGGCCTCCATGCTGGGTGTGGAGCCTACATAAAAAAAAAAGAGAAAAAGGTAGATCTGTCTGTATGCATTGATGTGCGGCCTACGGAAGAAAGGATACGGTGTGAGCGTGTAAAATTTTAAAGTACGTGTATCCTTCTCCGGGTGCAAAGAGGCTCTTCGTGGAAGACGGGGTTACGGGCAGACTGTGAGTTCACTTTCTGCTTTATAATTGTCAGAATCATTTTTGTGTTTTGTTTCTTCAATGAGCATATGCCATTTTATCACTGGGATTAACATTTTTCTTCCACGAAAAGATAAAAGTACAAACAGGTGACAGTTTCAGTTACCTTTGAAAAAGGAACCAGGCAGCCCAAGGGACAGGAACCAGTGTGGTGGCTTTTCCGTCTGTCTGTTAATGAGGCTGAGCTACCACTTCCTTGCTAGAAACCCAGGGACGGCTCCTCAGAGAACCACCTGCTCCCCGCACAGCCGTGGACCTCTCGTTTGCAGGTAGGGCACCGGGTTGCCCTGGAGCCTTCTTGTCCTCCACCAAGCCCTGCCCCAAGGTCAAGGAAGCTGCCCTCTGGCCCCTGGCCTATGTTGACCAGGGTGACCAGGCGGCCAAGGTCACTGTAGCTCTGTCCTTTGCCCTCAGCTCCTTTCTGGGTGTGGTTCTTGGCCTGAAGCAGAGAGACCACCAAGGGAAGGAAGTGGAAAGGTGGGGATTCCCCAGGCCCCTCCGGGCCTGGAATGCAAACAAAGGACAGAAATAGACCTATTTATCTGACCCCACCCAGTTCAGAGTCAGTCTCTGCCCAGGTGGTTTGGACCCCAGAATTAGGCATTCTGCAGGTGGTTCTCGGCCCGGGACACCCGCCCTGGCACCGGGGCCCCCAGGTCCCTTTCTATCTTGCCACCTGTCGACACACTCATACCCCCTCTCCCTGTTTTCATTCCAGTCGCCCTGCCCCCAGCCCACCATGGCCTCCGCTGACAAGAATGGCGAGAGCGTCTCCTCTGTGTCCAGCAGCCGCCTGCAGAGCCGGAAGCCGCCCAACCTGTCCATCACCATCCCACCTCCCGAGAACCCGGCGCCGGGCGAGCAGGCCAGCATGCTTCCCCAGGTAAGGGGGCAGCCTGGAGGCTCACTGGGGAGCGACAGCTGTGCCCATGCAATACCACTGGGGCGGAGGCGGCCCCTTCTGCCTGAGCCTCAGTGACATAGGCCTGCGCTCCCTCCTCCCCCGCCCCAGTGTCATATGGAATGAGCCCTGAGCACAGGAGCTGCATCTCCTAGTGGTCAGTGGACGGGGAGACCAGGAGCACAGTCCTCGAGAAAGACTCCCCGTTCTACCAGTCCCGGCGGTTTCCATTTCCTGCCCTGGGCCCCCTCCCCGAGGGGCTGGCAGACTCGGGGGTTAGGGCGTCAGCAGCTGACCCTGCAGCGCCTGGCTCCCCTGGAGAATGGAAATGAAGACGGGCTGGACCAACGCTCCATAAAGGGCTTATTGAGAGCAGCCTTGAAGCAGTGTCCTGGGGCATAAAAGGGGTCCTGTGTTGGTGCCACCCACTCACCCCGGGGGCTGTTTTGCATACAGGGAGCCAAGGGGGAGCACTGGTTAGGGAGTTGGGAAATCACGTTAGGGTTCCTTGAAGTGTGGAGAGAAGGTGACTTTACATTTGGAAGGAAAGCAGCTCAGGCGTGTACCTTAGGAGCGAGGTGTGTTCTCAGGGTTCTGGTGTAGGGGACCGTAGAAGAGCGAGCCCAGGGTCTGGGCTCCACCAAGTCTCAGCCTGTCCTCTTGCCCTGCCTCCCACAGAGGCCCAGGAACCCAGCCTACGTGAAGAGTGTCAGCCTCCAGGAGCCACGGGGACGATGGCAGGAGGGCAGCTCAGAGAAGCGCCCTGGCTTCCGCCGCCAGGCCTCCCTGTCCCAGAGCATTCGCAAGTGAGCACCCTTCCTGCCCCTAGCAGCCTTGGGGACCTCTGCTGGGCCGGCCTCTGTGTCCCCTTCTAAGAAGGAGTAGGGCAGGGCTAGAACGTGCGTATTGGCGGGGGGGGCGGGTAATGCGCAGGGGAAGGAAGCTGAAGCCCAAGGTGTCTTGTAGAAAGTCACAGTCTGGAGGCTGGGGGTTCAAGGAGCCAGGGCTGCAGGGGAGAGTCTGGCCCTCGGAAGGGACCCCAAGGCCTGCCCAGCCTGGCTTGGCCCCGGACTCTGTTTACCCCTCTCCGTCTGGTCATCGGGTACCAACCCAGGAGCCAGAGGGGGAGCCAGTCTGCTGGCACGTGCCCTGTCCCCCGGCCCCCCTGCACACACCTCCCCCGGCCCCTCCCGTGTCACCTGCCCTGCCCACCCCTCCCGTGACCCCCACCAGCGTGCACTCCCCGTCCTGCCGTGGGCGTCATGGCGGTCCCCGTGGCCACGGCTCTGTGTGCTCCCGCAGGGGCACGGCCCAGTGGTTCGGGGTCAGTGGCGACTGGGAGGCCAAGCGACAGCACTGGCAGCGCCGGAGCCTCCACCACTGCAGCGTGCGCTACGGCCGGCTCAAGCCCTCGTGCCAGCGCGACCTGGAGCTCCCCAGCCAGGAGGTGCCCTCCTTCCAGGGCGCCGAGTCGCCGAAGCCCTGCAGGATGCCCAGGGTGGGCTCCCCTGGTGGCGGTGGGGGTGGGGTGGGGAGTGGCAGGTGCCTCGGCCCCGGGACCCCCAGCTCTGCTCACTCCTGCCCTCCCTTCCAGATTGTGGACCCCCTGGCCCGCGGACGGGCATTCCGTCACCCGGACGAGGTGGATAGGCCCCATGGCCCGCACCCACCGCTGACCCCAGGGGTCCTGTCCCTCACCTCCTCCAGCAGCTGTTCCCACCTGCCCCGCCGCAAGAGGGTGTCTGTGGCCCACATGAGCTTTCAGGCCGCCGCCGCCCTCCTCAAGGTGAGGATGCCTCTCCGCCTCCGCCCGGCGCCCCCTTCCCCCGCCCTTCCCAGAGCATCCCCCCCACAGGCTGGGCTAAGGGCAGAGGGAGGGGCCCCGCAGCCCAGGAGCCCCGCCCACGTCCTCCCAGACCCAGCTCTCCAGGGTTCTGGAAGCCGGTTTCTGCCCCCACCCGAGCTGGGAAAGCAGGAAGTGACCTGTGTAGGGACCACCCGTCCCCCCAGTTCACTCAGTGCCTGTGATGTGCTGGGCGCGGGGACTGTGGGGCGGACCGAGCCAGTATCACCACTCAGCGTGATGAGAGGGGGGCCTGCGTAGGGGAGGGGCTGATGTTGGGACAGGCATTTGGGCTGGAATCCAGAAAAATAAGGGAAAGCTCCCCAGGGAAGGAAGGAAAGGAACAGTATTCTCAGCGGAGGGAAGGGCCCATGCAAAGGCCTGGAGGTGGAGGGGGCTTGGCCCATCAGGGGAGCAGCATGTGGTTTGATGGGATTTTAGTGAGGAGGGGCTTATGGGAGGAGAAGCCACCGACTGGAGTCCAAGAGGCAGACGTGGGCTGGCGGTGCTGTGCCAGGAAGCTGCAGCTGGGGAAGATGGCCCGAGTGTGGTGGGCGAGGGTACAGAACCAGTGCGCGGGAGGTAGCCGCCCTAGCCAGAGGTAAGGAGGTCAGCAGGGTGAGAATAACCGAAAATCTTGGAGAGAGCCGTGGGTTCAGGGCTACGGAAGCTTCGCTCCATGCTCTGGGCAGGGTCCCAGGTCCCATCTGGGTGCTGGGTGCTGCCCCGGGAGGAGGGGCTTCACAGTTCCTTTGGAGGGGGCGGGGGTAGTGGCCCCCGATCTGGGCCTGATGGCCGGGCCTCTGCCCTGTCACAGGGACGCTCCGTGCTGGATGCCACGGGCCAGCGGTGCCGCGTGGTCAAACGCAGCTTCGCCTACCCCAGCTTCCTGGAGGAGGACGTGGTGGATGGCGCAGACACATTTGACTCCTCATTTTTTAGTAAGGCAAGCATGGGGTGTGGGCTTTGGGCACAGGGCATGGGGTGGCCTGGGAGTGAGGAGAGGCAACCTGGCCTTGATCATGCTCTGCCGGGAGCCCCTGAGGGATCCAGAGACCCATGGGTGGGCTGGGATGGGCCACCCTGTGGGACTCCTGGGCTGCCGTCTTCCTGTGGAGGACCTGGCAGGGCGGGGGGCCAGCCTGGAGAGCCACGGTCAGGGTGGATGGGCACGAGCCTTCCCCTTCCCTCCCAAAGAGCCTGTCTAGCTTTGTCCTGTCCTTGAACTGAGGTCCTGTCTTTTTCTGTGTCCCCCGCTCCACCCCACCGCAGGAGGAAATGAGCTCCATGCCCGATGACGTGTTTGAGTCTCCCCCACTCTCGGCCAGCTACTTCCGGGGCATCCCACGCTCAGCCTCCCCAGTCTCCCCCGATGGGGTACAGACGCCTCTGTGAGTCTGGGCATCCTTCCTTCGGGGCGCAGGGAGGAGGCGCAGCTCGGGAGGGCTCCCCAGACCCCCAGTCTTTCCCCAAGCCCCCTTCTGGAACATGGGGAGGGCGGGGGCAGCAGGCTGAGAGCCACCCCCCCACCTCCACACCCCCCAGGAAGAAGGAGCACGGCCGAGGCCCGGTGGACGGGGCCAGGCGCGGCAAGCGCATCGCCTCCAGGGTGAAGCACTTTGCCTTCGACCGCAAGAGGCGGCACTACGGGCTGGGCGTGGTGGGCAGCTGGCTGAACCGGAGCTACCGCCGCAGCATCAGCAGCACCGTGCAACGCCAGCTGGAGAGCTTCGACAGCCACCGGTGAGCGGCCGGCGGGCCGGGGCTGCCTGCTGGGGTCGGGCTGGCTGAGCGTCCCGCCCTCCGGAGTCCCTCCGCGGTAGGCGGGACGAGAAGGGCGGACAACCGCGGACAACTGCCCCATCCCCCGACGGTCCCTCTCCTGTGGCACCCCGTATTCAGCAGGCGCGGGAGAGGAGAGCGGGGACAAGCCCTCAGGGTGTCCCCACGAGCACGCGTGTCGCCTGGGAAGGCTCCTTGGGCCCTTTGCTGCCTCTCCACCCTCCTGGCTCTCTTGGCCTGTGTCGTTAGTCCTGCCCCCAACAGCCATCAAGGATTCATTGAGCCCTGGAACAGCTCCAGCAGGGGGGATGGGGGTGCAGGGTGGGCCAAGGGACAGTTAGAAGCTCTGTGAGTGAGGGGACCGTCGGGGGGCAACCAGAGGTTGGGGAGGGGCAGTTCTCACCATGTGCCACGGGTGGTGACCTGATCGACATCAAACCCAAAACCAAAAAATGAGTAACGAGTGTAGCAAGTGTCCCAGGAGGACAGAGCATGAGTGGACGGACGGGCAGGGAGGGCTACAGCCAGCATGAGCAGGAGGTAGCCTGATAGAGAGAGATGTGAAGAACATCCCTGGCAAAGCAAATGCCAGGTGCAAAGGCCCTGGGGCCGCAGGGATCCTGGTTTGTTGCAGGAGCTGTAAGAGGAGAAAGTGGGTGGGCGCAGTAAGGCCCTGCAGCCAGCAGGAGGCGGTGATGTCAGACTTTACTCCAGGGGAAGCAGGAAGCCATCTAAGGGTTTAAGCTGGGAGAGAGACCTGGGGGTGATTTTCAAAGTCACCGTGGTGAAGGATGAGTTGGAGGGGAACAGAAGGGGAAGGGAGAGACCAAGTGAGAGCTGACGGGGGCTGGGCTCCGCAGGCTGAGGTTGGGATGTGGGTTTGGCTCTGCTGACCCAGGGCCTCTGTCCCCAGGCCCTACTTCACCTACTGGCTGACCTTTGTCCACATCATCATCACACTGCTGGTGATCTGCACGTACGGCATCGCACCTGTGGGCTTTGCCCAGCACGTCACCTCCCAGCTGGTGAGTCAGGCTAAGGAAGGGGTGCTCCCCTTGGAGGGTCCTGAGACCCCTGAGAGACATCAGCATCATCAGCCCTGGAGTCCTTCCCGTGGCCACAGCCTCGCCCATGTAGGAGGGTGCTCTGGGCTCAACGCAGCTTTACCTCTCAGCCCCATGCTGGGGTCCCTACCCTGGGATGGGGAAACCCCTGACCGCCCCCCCTCGCCCCTGCACCAGGTGCTCAGGAACAAAGGTGTGTATGAGAGCGTGAAGTATATCCAGCAGGAGAACTTCTGGATTGGCCCCAGCTCGGTGAGGACCCCAGAGGGATGGGCAGCTTCTCAGCAGGGAACCCTGGGGCCCTGTCGCCTGCCCAGGAGCCCCTCTCACCGGGGGACTCCAGGGGAAACTAAAGCGAGTGGCCAGCTCTGAGCCCAGGCTCACTCTTTGCCCTCCCCCAGGTTGATTTGATCCACCTGGGAGCCAAATTCTCCCCCTGCATCCGGAAGGACCAGCAGATTGAGCAGCTGGTGCTTCGGGAGCGAGATCTAGAGCGGGACTCGGGCTGCTGTGTTCAGAACGACCACTCGGGCTGCATTCAGACCCGGCGGAAGGACTGCTCGGTGGGGCCAGGCCCTCCAGCCCCTGCCAGCCCCACTCGCCCTGCACCACCTTCCCTTGCCCCTGGCATAGCGGAGGGGCCCTCAAGGACAGTGACCACATCCCCTCTCTCCTTCTGGGCCCCATACAGCCCCGTACTTGGCCCAGCACAGGGAGAGTGCTGACCTCCCCAGCCCCGCAGAAGTGAAGGAAGTAATGTTCCCAGGTCTTAGGAACGTCAGTGGAGGGTGGAGGTCTGGGAGATAGGCCTGAGCCTTGGGGACCAGGGAAAGAGCCCCTGTCCAGAGGGTCCCTTGCTCACTAATGGATATGGTGTGATCCTAGACGTAACCAACCTTCCTTCATCCTCCAGGAGACTTTAGCCACTTTTGTCAAGTGGCAGGATGATACGGGGCCCCCCATGGATAAGTCTGATCTGGGCCAGAAGCGGACATCAGGGGCAGTGTGCCACCAAGACCCCAGGTACCATCCCAGGATGGCCCAGCTGAGCTGTGAGAAGACAGGGTTGAGTGTCCTATATGCCTCCCCTGGGGATGTTAGCGGGTGGGTGTGGCAGGCTGGGGGGACGCCCACAGCTCCTCATTTTGCCCCCTCTGACCTCTGCCTCCAGAACCTGTGAGGAACCAGCCTCGAGCGGCGCCCACATCTGGCCCGATGACATCACCAAGTGGCCAGTGAGTGTCTGGGGTAGAGAATGGTCTAGGAAGGGCGGGGGGCGGGGTGCCTGCCGCCACAGGGGCCCAACCCAGTGTGGGCGTCCCCCCTCGCCCCCTGCAGATCTGCACCGAGCAGGCCAGGAGTAACCGCACCGGCTTCCTACACATGGATTGCCAGATCAAGGGCCGCCCCTGCTGCATTGGCACCAAGGGCAGGTCAGCCAGCCCCATGCCCCTCGGTCGCCCCCCACACCCCCGGGCTAGTATCCTCCCTCCCCAACTCAGGGGTCGTCCATGGTGTGAGCAGGATGAAGGGGAGCCTGCCCCAGAGCTAGGGTCCCCGCAGAGGGGCACCTCTTCCTGCCAGTGGGCAGGGGCCCTATGACGGATCCCCTTGCCTCCCTGGCCCGCAGCTGTGAGATCACCACCCGGGAGTACTGTGAGTTCATGCATGGCTATTTCCACGAAGAGGCAACACTCTGCTCCCAGGTAAGGTGGGACCTGCTGGGGCCCCAGGCGTGAGGAGGTGAGCACGGTGGCCATGTGTCCCCCCCACCGCCTGCAGATTTGTGCCCCCCACCCCCACATCGGGGCCAGCTAGGCCACAGGCACTGACTGCCCCGTGCTTTGCTTGCCCTCAGGTGCACTGCTTGGACAAGGTGTGCGGGCTGCTGCCCTTCCTCAACCCCGAGGTCCCCGATCAGTTCTACAGGCTCTGGCTGTCTCTGTTCCTCCACGCAGGGTAAAAGGCTCCTCGCTGCCCTCCCCTCCCCCCACACCCCTGCGCTGCCCGCGTGCCCCCCTCCCCCCTCCCCCGCTCTGGCCCGTGGATGAGGACTCCTGGCTGGCAGCCGGGGGCAGATAGGGGACAGCTGACGCTTGCTTTGCCCCCCTCCCCAGCGTGGTGCACTGCCTCGTGTCTGTGGTCTTCCAAATGACCATCCTGCGGGACCTGGAGAAGCTGGCCGGCTGGCACCGCATTGCCATCATCTTTATTCTCAGTGGCATCACCGGCAACCTCGCCAGTGCCATCTTCCTCCCATACCGGGCGGAGGTAGGGACAGGGGACAGGGCGGGGAGGGCCAGCTCTGCTGCTTCCGCCCTTACCCCCGGAGCCGCCGGAGGGATGCGCGGCCCCTCCTGGGCCAGACGGCAGATGGACAGCTAAGCTGTGGGCTTATTGGCTGATCCCCTAGTCCCCGGGGGCAGCGGACAGCCATGCCTTTGCGTCATGCTCAGGCATCACCTCCAGAAGACCTTCCCAGCCCCTGTCCCCCGCTTTGCTCTCTTCCTCTGCTTCATTTCTCTTCGTGACCGTGACCCTTGCCTGCCTACCCGCATGTCATGTATCTGTGGGTTGAGTTGTGTGAAATCTAGAATGTGCAACTGTTCGTGACCCACAGAAGCAGGGACAGGTTTCCCATCGGTTCAACCCCATGCCCTCGGCTTGTTCGGTGTCTGTCCATCCCGCCGTCTGCTGCCTGGTGTAGGCCTGTCCTGCTTAGAGCACGGGCCGCGCACTGGGCACACGGTCGGTCCTCGGTGTCTGCAGAAAGAGTGGGCGCAACGAGGCCGGCTCTGGTCCAGGAGCCTCAGTTGCGGGGTCCCCAGCCCTGGGAGGAGCCCACCTGTAGGAGGAGCTGGGTCCCGGTGCTCCCACCGCCTGGCTGCGCCCCGCCTTTGCGCCGGGCCCCTGGGATTGACGCCGCCCCCCCCCCCCCGCCCTGCCCCAGGTGGGCCCGGCGGGTTCGCAGTTTGGCCTCCTCGCCTGCCTCTTCGTGGAGCTCTTCCAGAGCTGGCAGCTGCTGGAGCGGCCCTGGAAGGCCTTCCTCAACCTGTCGGCCGTCGTGTTGTTCCTGTTCATCTGTGGCCTCCTGCCCTGGATCGACAACATCGCCCACATCTTCGGCTTCCTCAGCGGCCTGCTGCTGGCCTTCGCCTTCCTACCCTACATCACCTTCGGCACCAGCGACAAGTACCGAAAACGCGCCCTTATCCTAGTGTCGCTGCTGGTCTTTGCCGGCCTCTTTGCCTCTCTCGTCATCTGGCTCTACGTCTACCCCATCCACTGGCCCTGGATCGAGTACCTCACCTGCCTGCCCTTCACCAGCCGCTTCTGCGAGAAGTACGAGCTGGACCAGGTGCTGCACTGACCCCCGAGGGACAGGCTGCCTGTCTGCAGAGCGCCCCAGCCCGCGCCCCGGACACCCGCCACCGGGGGGGCCCAGCCCTCCCTCCGCCAGCCACGCCGACTCCACGGGGACAGTCACAGAGGCCAGGTCCTCCAGGGAGGGAGGCCCCCCTTCCTCAATCTGGGGAACACCCTGATCACGTGCTCCTCTGCTGCTCCCCTGCAGGCAGGACCCTTGACCCGGCATGGGCTTCTTTCCATCCCAAGGTCCTGGGCTTTGCCCATCTCCTCCCTCAGCCTCTGCTGGTGCTGGCCCCCCCGCCACACACACGCACCATTACCGTGCATGTGCCCTCACTGGGACATGGCCAGGGTTCCCACCAGGTTCCCGCCCCTGCCTCACCCCTCCCTGCCCTATGAGCCTGTGTCCCTCATTCAGCAGTGGCCCGGCGAGCCCGCCCTTCATGCTCCTGGACCAGATATGTGGGACGGGCTCTGCCGTGGTCTGGGGCGGAGGCCAAGCACAGAGACACAGCGAGGCTGGGAAGCTGAGAGCCTCTGCTTGCTGGTGGTGAAGAGAGGCTGTCCTCCTTCTGTCCTGGGCCTCCGTTGGAGTCAGTGTTCTGCCCTGTGGGCTGGCTCTGAGAAGCCAGCCCTACCCCTCTCTGCCTCACTCCTGCCCAAGTCGGGGCAGGGGCCGGGCCGCCTCAAGGACCTGCTCCCAGGGTTGCCCAAGGCTCAGTCAGGCCCTTTTTTACTGGTTTATATTATGGTTCTAATTTTTAAAAGTAACGCTAACTTTATATGGATGAAGACTCAAATGTAGTAAATGATAGTCTCTAGAAGTATCATTTTGTGAGTTGAGGGGTTCTGGCAGAGTGAAAGCTGGGACTCTGTTGATGGGGGGTCAGCCATAAGCTCAGGGGCAGGGCTTGGGCCCAAAGGGATGGTGGAAAACCTGTGGGGGTTTTGGTTGGACAGGAAATCAGGTTTGGGGTCCCATGGAAAGCCTCAGGGGGTCCCTTGAGAGGGCCGGGTCAGATCCTTGGACCCCAGGGGCATTGAGGGGCTGGCTGCCCCGGCAGAGACGGCGGCGGAGGGGAGGCACAGCCCTCGTCCGTTCACGGTACCTCACCTGTAGCCCTCACCCCACACAGGAAGCCACCTGGGAGGTTATGCAGCACAACTCTTTTTTTTTTTTTTTTAACATTTTATTTATTTATTTGACAGACAGATCACAAGTAGGCAGAGAGGCAGGCAGAGAGAGAGAGGGAAGCAGGCTCCCAGCTGAGCAGAGAGCCGGATGCGGGGCTCGATCCCAAGACCCTGAGATCATGACCCGAGCCGAAGGCAGAGGCTTAATCCACTGAGCCACCCAGGCGTCCCAGCACAACTCTTTATTAGAGGGAAGAGGATCCGGGGTGTCTGAGGCAAGGGGTGGAGGGCTCATGAGGGGAGTTGGGAGATAACCCCCACACTGCCCTGCGCCCAGCTCCTCCCTATTCCTGGGCTGAGGATGAGAAGGGGAATCCCTGAGGCTGGGGAGAAGGGTCTTCTGAGCACCAGACACCTCCCACGAGGACGAGGAGGCTGTCTGCCCAGAGGGTCCCCCATTGGTTCCTGAGAATGAGGGAGTCACCGAGGCAGTCCGGGGACACCTGCTGTCCCCAGTTCCCAACCCAGCCCCATCTCCGGCACCGTTCGGCAGGCAGCCCCGGCTGGGGAGAGAAGGGAACCCTGGGGCCGGGCAGGAGCCCCAGCCTGCCTTCCCACAGCCCCAGCACGTGGCTGCAGGCACCGTGGGGCGGCAGACGGGAGGGCAGGGCGCCAGGTTCAGCAGCCGCTGTTCCGACGCCGGGACGCATGGCCTCGCATGGAGCACTGGAGCTCCGTGAAGGCGAGCGGGCCCAGGGTGATGGCGCAGGGGCCCACGGGGCTGAAGCCGAACCCCTGGTAGAAGGGCACCAGTCTGTCCTCGCACATGAGTGCGGCCCGGCTCACCGCCGGCTGGCCGCCCAGGTGCTGCAGGTAGCGCCGCATCAGTGTGGAGCCCTTGCCCTGGCGCCGGCAAGCATGATGCACGGCCAGCACGTGCAGGTGGGCAGTGTGGCCCCCGGGCCGGTGCAGCGTCAGCGACTCCTGGGAATGAGCAGGGATGTGAGTCCGGCTCCATCTCCGCCCATCCTTGGCTCCCCAGCTACCCCCAGCGGGCCAGGAGCAAGTGTCTCCCGAGTGCCTCCGAACGGGGCTCCCTTCCCACCCGTGGAGGGCCCCCAGTGGGTACCCTACCCTCCGCCCCTTGGAGGACCCTTCATGAAGGCCTTTGAGCCCCAAAGTCCTTTGACCCGGGAGAAGACCAGAGGAAGACATTCCAGGCCCTGGGCTCTGCCTCCTGAGCAAGAGAAGCCAGGGCCCCGGGGTGGCAGCCTCCCTTCCAGAGGTTTCCCAGCAGTCGGGCATCCCAGCCCCAGCCTGCCCTCACCTGAGTGAGTCTCTCCTGGTCCCAAAGCGAGCCGATGATGAAGGCTACGAGGCAGCCCTCCTGGAACCAGCCCAGGGACAGCTCTGGACACAGGGTCAGGAAATGCTTGACCTCATCCAGATATAAGGGGCAGGTGCCCAAGACGGAGATGAAGGCTGCAGGGGGAGGCGCGGCGGGTGACTTGGTGGTAGCAAGCATCTGCTCGGCAGCCCCGGGCGGGGTCTCCCCCCATCACACCTCCCAGCCCCCCACCCCCACCCTCTCCCACAAGAAAACGGGATCCAGGGCAGTTCCCATCCCCGCCTTCTTGAACACCCACGCACACACAGAAATGCACGGCCAATCTGCTCCTCCCGGGGCCCAGCCACCGAGGACAGGGGCTCCTCCCCAAAGGGCAGCCGTGGCAGAGTGTGTCGGCGTTCAGACCCCCGGCGGGGCCCGCTCACCTTCGCGCTCGATCTCAAACACGCCTCTGGCATCATCCGCGGTGAGGCAGCGGAACTCACTGGCGGGAAGCGTGTGGCGCCGCTGGCGGCTGGGGGCCTCTGGGGTCCCAGGCTGCAGGTCCGAGGCCTCGGGCTCCGGGTCGGGTGTGCTCTGTGTGGACATCTTGGCTGCTGGTGTCTCCTGGGGATGCCCCAACTTCAGAAGTGGCCTTCGTCACCTAAAAGGGCCCTCTGGCACCTGTTACCGGAGAGGAGTGAGGGTCACGGTGCGGTCTTCAACTCCACCAGGAGCAGGCCAGGGTGCGGGTGCACCTCACCTCTTGTCTCTTTGGTAGCCAGACCTGGGTTTGGGCGAGTCCCAGCACGGATTCTGGGAGCTGTAAATGTTGGTACCCTATCCCCATCTTTCCCTCTCAGCCAGAAGTACCCACGGAGCAGCCCTTCCAAACCTCCGGATCCTGGTCTCATTGACCTCCGGGTACATCTAAGTCTCAGGAGGCGGTGGGAGGGGTGGCCACTGACCACGTCTAACGCAATGATGAGAGGCGTGGGTTGGTCCGTCTCACCTGCCCGGAAAGGGGCTTCCCCGTCCTTCGCCTGTGAAAGATGGAGTGTGTCCAGCTTCTTAGGCTGCTTCAGCCATCGGCCCTGGAGAAAAAGACCCTTAGTCAAAGTGGGTCCTCAAGGAGCCTTCATGTTTACTCAGAGGGCCTCAGACTGGACCACGCACACATGAGGGCATCGGGAGGATGGGGGGCGTCTGGGGAGGTAGGGAGGAGCAGGCCTGGAGGGCATCTGACTGTGACCCTACGGCGCCTTGGACCTCTCTCCCATGATGGTCTTGCCCTCCCTCCTCCACTTTTTCTCCCTATGCCCTGAAGCCCCAAGCAGGGTAGCTCCTGTTCCTGAAGGCTGGGAGCCCGGGGTTGGGGGAGGAGTGGGAGATGGGGGGGCCCTTACCAGGACTCTGAGCAGGGGCCCAATGCTTCCACCGCAGAGCCACTCACCCTGAAGGTCGTCAGCAGTCGAGGGAGGCAGGGAAATCTGGGGCTTCGGCCTGGCTTGGCTGCTGAGGTGTCACTGGGGAACATGGAATATTCTCTCCGATTTATAATCCCTGCCCCGCCTCTGTGTTACACCAGCAGGATGGAGCCTGCATGGCTGTGCTGCTGCCCGCCCTGTCCCCACCTGCTGAGGGTCAAACGTCAGAGTGACACATTGCACGCGGGGGATTACAGTGACTGATTGAGGGCCCGGAATCTGGGGGACGCACGCAGGGCTAAACCTCAGGGGTCCGGCTCTAATCCCTGTTCCGGCTCTGCCTGGCGGGGCCTGGGCATTCACCCTTTGTGCTCTGGAAGCTCGGACACCCCCACCTCGGAGGTCCTTCCCCCAGATCCAGACGTGAGAGTCAAGTCCTTCTGCACGTACTAGCTGGTCACCTGTAGCAAAAACCAACCCAGACAAGCAAGAGGTCCTTCTCGACTCGCGCCCTCCTCCCATCCCCCTGGTACTCTGCCTAGTCTCCCACACCTGCCATTACCCTGGGGTACTTAAGAACCCCGAGGGGGTGCGGCCGCCACTTTGGAAGACCTTGCAGTACCTGCTACATTGGGGCTCACGCCCTGGGACCCACAATTCCCCACTCGAACACCGATAGAGCTAGAAGCTTCCCCAACTGGGAACAGCCCAAATGACCATCAGCAGTAAGGGACTCGGGAATTAGTTCCCTAGTTCCTTAGGGAACTCATCCAGCTGTGAGAGCAAAGGACCCTCAGGACACATGGCGTCACCGAGACCCTCGCCAGTGCAACAGGGAAGGAAAGAAGCCCCCAGCAAGAGGGGTTCTGAGTCCCTGGAGTCTGTTTTAATCAGTGTATGGGAGGCAGCGGCTGCCCAAGGGGGGGCTTCTGGGGTGCTGGTGACATAAGATTCAGTTCTTTTTTTTTTTTTTAAGATTTTATTTATTTATTTGAGAGACAGAGAGACCTCAAGTGGGGCGAGGGGCAGAGAGAGGGGGAGAGGCAGACTCCCCGCTGAGTGGGGAGCCCAATGTGGGGCTTGATCCCAGGACCCCGAGATCATGACCTGAGCCGAAGACAGACGCCTCACCGACTGAGTCGCCCAGGGGCCCCCAACATTGAGCTCTTCAGCTGAAGGAGGAAGGTGGTGGGAACTCAG